ACATACCGTAGCCGCGCAAACTCCTTCCATCCTCCCTTTTGGTCCTTTTTCGTCCCGCGTATACACACCTATACATCACAGGCTGCAGCGTCCTCGTCCAAGGTGGAGGACTCTCACGCGAACCCTCTTACATACCTCTTTTCACGCACGCGTTTCTCAACTATATATAATACAAAATATACGCGCGAATGTACACACCAACAGCCGCGTGCTCAAATATATATACATGCATAGGTACAGCGGGGGAGGGAGAGCTTCGCTATATACGTATACCCATTCTTTTTGCTTCCGTCTCGCTCATCTTTCCCTTTCGTTTGCTCCTGCGCGTGTACGTACACGCGTGTGCACCTTCCTCTTTAAGTTTTGCATTTCTTTTTTTTTTTTCTTCTTTTTCTCTCCTTGCGCGTCTCGGCTTATTTTCTTTAAGCCTCCGTGGATCGTGACGATTTTAAGCGAAAAAAGCATCGTCGGCGTCGCAAGCTAAAGCTCACGCAGCCTCTCTCCCTCCCCTCCCCCCCCTACCTCTCTCTTTCCCTGCCGTGTACGGTCGTCTTCTTTACTTCCCTTTGGCTCTTTGAGCGCGCGAGATTTATGATTCGCGCAAACGCGAATATTGCGTTTATAATGAAACGGTCAAAAGCCCTTGCACCCATATACCGTGTGGCTTTGGTGGTTCAACGAAATGGACAACGAGAGGAAGAGAGCGAAGCGTATATTGTACGAGTGACAGGAGGATTATTGAGGAGCCGAGCGAGGGTCGCTTGATGGGTGTCCTTTCTATATCCTTTGTCGAGGTAATGCCCTCACTTTCTCTCTCTCTTTTTTTTCCCCTCCTCTTCGGTTGAGACATCGGTTTTACGAAAGAGAAAACGGCTGGATTGAAAATAGAGAGAAATAATAAACCACACGAAGTAGAAACAGTCGAGTACGGACGGACGCGCGTACTCACGAAATCGCGAGAGGAAGAGAGGGACGCGCGGTCCCTATAGGTACTTTTATGGTATATATTATCTAGCGGCAACAATCGCGGGAGCACAGCGTATTACACTGTGTATTTTGGTACACGCGCACACTTGGACACGCGAGAGAGGAGCGTCTTCCCGGCTGTCGTGCCCTCACGCGAGATTCTGCGTCGATTGATCTCTTTTTCTTTTTCTTTTTTTTTTTTTTTTTGTTGAAAATGAGGGATATATATACCCCTGTGTTGGTACTTATCTTTCGGTAGGTAGCAAAAAACAAAAGATAAAAGAGGGAGGCAAAGTCGAGGCGCCAAAAATTAAGGGGGTTACAAGTGAGAAAAGCTCACGCGATCCGAGGGAATTAGGGGCGCTCATGATCGACTCTACAGGAGAAGGGACTCGGCCAACTCGTAAAACACCTTTTTTTCTCTCTCCATCTCTCTTTCTTGGCGACGATGATCTTGCATACTTGGTGTGTAGGTATATAACGAGGGAGAAGGAATATAAAGGGGGTAAGGGAAAAGAAGAAGCAAAAAATAGCACATAGTAAAGGGACTGGGAAGTGCGAGGAGAGGGGACGGTAACGGAGATGGAGATATATACTCTCGTGTGTGCAGGGGTACAGGAATGAGAGAGAGATTAATGAAGGGAGAAGGCGCGCTGATGCCTATATAGTAGAAAGCACAATGGACGGTATTAGCGAAGGAGCAAGTGCGTTGCAAGTGCGACGCGACGTCCCGCAGGCGGGCTTAAGGACATATATATATATATATATATATATATATATATATACACTACACACTTTGTGTGTACGAAAGTCTGCTCCTTTGGGCTCTCCCTAGATGCACTTTTGCTCTCGTTCTCTCGTATCCAATGCCTCTATACGCTGTACAATATATAATAAATGTAACATAGATACATAGATGGCTCCGGAAGGCAAGAGCTACTCCCCCAATAAGAAATACACACGGAGGGATGGGCCACGCGCGGATCATGTATACACGCAACTGATGGGCATAGAAAAGCTCTCGGCGAATGCAGCCCTCTTCGATCGGCCACTGTTACGTATACACATGTTGGTATACGCGTGCTCATATCTCGTATACGTACTCCATTATTCGCGGGATTTTGGATCTACAGCAACATTTATATACAGTCGCGCGGCATCGATCGATAAAGCCCCTCGAGGATTACGCCTTTCGATTGATGGGTAAATATAGGTACGTATGCGTGGGGAGGGAGAGCTGCGGTATAGTATAGATTATTGTGTATAATATATATGTATACACAAATGGTAGGAGAACGAGGGACTGACACGCGCGAAAATTAAAAAGCATGCGGCGCCAATAAGCTATAGGATTTGGGCGTTTCGTTCTCCTTTTCTCCTATCATCGGACACGTATAAAAGCCGCGTGTGCGTGCGCGGTGCAGGTGATGGTGCACGTATAGCTTCCTCGATATATATACACCACGGAGGCTGCGGGTATTTTTTTTTTTAACTTTCGGGGATGAGAGAAACCCGGCCGAGGAATTTCGCAAGCGGCGACGGTCAGAGATCGCTTGTCTCTCGGGACACAACATATACGTAGTAGATACACGCATATACGATACTTTTTTTCACGCTTCCGAATCCCGTGCGCGTTAACTGATGCTGATGCTCCTTCTCGGGTGATGCTTGTCTGCTCCGGTGTACGTGTGTATGCATATGCATATATAGTACTGAGTTCGTTAAAATTCATGGATATGCACGCACGCGTTGTATGTACACATATTTATACTGTGCACTATATACTCTGGGGCTCGTGCGACGATTCATTTTGCGTCTGTTGCTACTGGTTTTTGAGGCGTACGCGACTTCATTACGCTGCTGTTGACGAGAAATTGTGGGCCTAATGAAGTTGTTTTCAAAGGAAATGATGAAAAAAAGAAAAAATAAACATTAATGTTCCGCTAAAGTTTTTTGAGAGCATCTATCCGATCCTTATACGTGTATATACCGATCGAACGGCCTTTGAAGTAGGTATATCCGAAAGTAATCCCTATTCGCCGAAGAGCACGTCAAAGCTTGAAAAAATGCTTATATATACCTATTCGTGTGGCCGTCAAACGTGTCACGGCAATTAATATCATTTTCCATGCTCCATTCGACGTCGAAGATGATCGTATCTACGATCTCGCGAGAGGGATGCGCCCCGAAATCCTTGCGCGTATACCGATACATATACATATTTATAGAGACAAGTTGAAGGAGCCGCGTATATTCTATAGGTATATATGTGTACACGAGCAAAGACATCTATAGACGGGCACAAGATCGTTACGGGGGATAAGCACTGCACTGCATGCCGATCTGGACCCATTTCTCCGATCCCCTTCTGTTTCACGTGTGCACTGGTATAATATATCTATATTATACATGCGTTGAGTATGATTGATGCGCCCAAACGTCGAATGAGGCACTTATCTCCCTGCTACTGCATGTATATATAAATACATACAGGTTCCAAGAGTGCATGCCGAAAGAGATCGAGTATGTGTGTGTGTTTTTCGGGCCACGCATGTTCATATCAAAATAAAATATACCTACACGTGTGCAAGCGAGCCGTTTTGTCGGTATCATATAAGCTTCGCGCAGGAGTAATGGCTCGTCTTGGATTATTTTACGCATCGCGAGACAAGAAAAACAGATGCGTATCTCTGGTTCCGCGCTGATACGAGGACGATGTCGTGTCCTTCTCGTCTAATTACACGAGGCTACCGCGCGCACCGTGTGTGCGTATTTTTTTTTTTTTTTTTTTTTTTTTTTTTTCAGTGCCGATCGATCGATCAGAGGCTGAAGTTGCAGCGTGTTTTTTTTTTCGGCAATTTAGCATCGAGGGAGAGATGATGAGCGATTTAATTGGTCCTCGCGTATCCTAAGCGGCGTTTCGGAAATCCCCATTGGCTGGCAAAACGAGCGCGATCGCTCATCTTGTATGTAAGCCGAAACCTGTACCTGCACATACTTGTGGACAAAAGGGCCGATTTCCCGTTTTCCTCGAACTTTGTATGGAGAAATTTTACAATAAGCCGTGTAGCGAAGGGATCGGTATAAAACACCCGCGAGCCAGACATTTTAATAATCCATGTGGATTGCAAACAATACACGGTTTTCCCTTTCCGTGACTGTTCGTTGGGGAGAAAATTATGAAGTGGACAAATGGAAAGGGGGAAACATTGCAGGCGGGTGGTGTAGTACCGGTGCGCATATTACGCGGTAAAAGGAGCTCAAGAGAGAGAGAGAGAGAAAAAAGGACGATGTGATCGGTAAAAACCGTCCGAGTGTATTACGTGTGCGATGCTTTTTACCCTTCGTCTGCATTGGTGCTGCAGGTTAACGAGCCGAGGGTTCTTTCCTGCTTGAATAACGCGGTGACACACCGCGACCGTGCCATATATATAAATCGGCCCTTCTTATCTCGGCCGCGCGTGTACGGCAGCGTATAAGAGAGGTATATATTGCCGGGACGTCAGACGTCGGGCCGCGTCAACCTATGCCTCTTGGCGTCCGCCTTTGCTCGCGGTGTATGGTGTGACGAAACTCGCGGAATGCCCGTAGTGCTACCACCCCCCTCCCCCTCACTTTTTTCTTCATCCAAGGAAACTTTACGTGTCGACGAGCTCCAGATCTTCCCCCTCCCTCTCCTCCCTCTAGTTGACGAGGTCTCGTTTGCGGTCTCGCCGCGGTTACCGTATTAGCAAGTGTATACCGCGATGCGCCAGCCATATATATACGTATATAAACCTGCTGAGATGTTGCGCCGAGATTGGGAGCTTTTCCCCTACACGGCATATGTCACGGCTTATGTAAGGTGATGATTATATATTTATATGTGCAGGTGCACGAGAGGGAATTATTATTATTACTAATATCAAGTGGATTCCGTCATCGGTCCTTTTGTTGCATTAATGCAGATTTGACGAAAATTTATATGATTACAGCCAAAGGGTATATTCATGTACCTACAACTCAAATAATGTAGAATAGACTAGTTCACTCACCTGTGTCCATGGCGAGGAGGGTGAGCACGTACTCCGGGACGCGTTCGCGGTCGAGCGGCCTCAGGAGAAAGATCTCGCCCGTGCTGGCGTTTATGCGGAAGAGGTCGGTGTCGCCCTCCTTGATGAAGTAGCGTACCTGATCGTTGTAGGGCGGCGTGTCCGCATCGTACGCCTTCACCTGCGCACACGTGCACTCATTAATACAAGCTCAAGCCGATAATTTAATACACAATACACGTAGGTAGGTATCATCGGTATCGTGGGATGTACGTGCGAATAAATCGCATATACGCAGTGCACGGGAGGTGGCACCGATGGCTTATCGCCACGCATCCAGAAGGGACACAATTGCGGATACATTTATAAGACAAAGGAAAGAGAATTAAAGGGATGGGGGGGGGGGGAAACAAAAGAAAAGAAAAGAATCGACACACACCGCGTTCCCGAGAACCGATCGTTGAATCACTACTTGCACACGGTTCCACGGGCGCCAAAAGTAACGGGGACAACTGCAGGAGCAAAAAAAAAAAGAAAAAGAAAAGAAAAACCAAAGGACGACAGCGCCGTGTCCTTGTCTTCTATACCTGTACGTATATGTATATATACGTTACACGCAATATAACGTCGAGGGGCGATCTTATCGCGTTTCAACCGGCGCGCGATTACCATAATTCCTTGAATCATTACTCAATGGCCCGAAAAGGGGATTAATCGGGTGTTTTGGTGTGTGTATCATGCCATGATGCGTGTATATTATCAACAGAAGCTTACCTGCATGACAAAACCCGAGGCGGGTGGCAGCATGTTCTCCATGACGTGGGCCAGGTAGGGCGAGTCGCGGAACAGCGGCGCATTGTCGTTGACGTCGAGGACGCTGATGATGACCTCGGCGTGGTCGAACCTCGCGTCACCTCCCAACTCGGGGGCGCAGTCCTCGGCCTGCACCTGCAGCCTGTAGCTCGGCTTGCGCTCAAAGTTCAGGCTCCTGGCGACCCTGATCGCGCCCCCGTCCTCCGAGATCGCAAAGTCCCGATTGTCGTCGCCCGAGGCTATGCTGTAGCGCAGCCGGCCGTTCGCACCCTCGTCCCGGTCGCTCGCCGACACCTAGTTTCGAGGAGCGAAGGAACAAAAAAAAAACAAACGAGAAGCATGAGGGGCATAGCATGGCCAAAACAACAACTCCAACAACAAGAAGAAGAGGAGGAGGAGGAACGCAAGAAACGCGCGACATCGCGATGCAAGCCAGAGAGAGAGAGAGAGAGCTTCTTCCTTCCTTCTTTTTTTTTCATCATGTTATTTTTTCGTTTGGCATTCGCAGCTTCTCCCCCCCCCCCCGCCCCCAGTCGCCCTAAAAGAGAGAAGCTGCAGTGGCGCGCTGTTAACGCTTTACGCGATTGTACGATTGTTGTTGGGGGGCTTCCTCTGTCCCCTTTTTTTTTTTTCTCCCCCCCCCCCCTTTGGCCCAAAGAGGTGCCGGACGACGTTCCTCCTTCTTTCTTTCTTTCCTCTCCTCGCCAACCTTGTTATCGGCGGCCCGCGAGAGGGAGAGCTGGGAATGCAAGCAGCTACTGCCGAGATTTCATTTTATTCGGTGATTCATGGGCCCGCCGCCGCTTGGATTCACCCCTATCTATCTCTCTCCGTTCGATCGTTGGTTTACTTGTTTCGCGGGGAGCAGCTCTGCACGGGGGGAGGGGAGGCTTCCTGCGATATTATATATCTGATTGAGAGATCGAGCTGTGTTTCGTTCTAATGACCGTTGCAACTGTACATGTATACCGAGTTGGTGCGATGTACTAATGGAAAAGAAAAGAAAAATCCGTACGCCTCTCCGGTGAAAATGATATAAAAATTCGTTAGCCAACGATTTATATTTTTTCCTCCCTCGAGAGAACATACGGCAATTCACTGTAATCCGAATTGAACCTTCCCTCCCTTACCCAATAGATTGAATCGCGTATGAGATTAATTCTTCATTTGGATGTAAATAATACTCTCCACTGTCAAACTTTTATCACATTATCTTTCACCCCAAAATATGTGATGGGTGGGTTGATAGAACTGACCTGGAGGACGTTGGCGCCGATGCTCGCGTTCTCGGCGATGCTGGCGGAGTAGCGTCTGGGGTCGAAAACGGGTGAGTTGTCGTTCTCGTCGAGGACGTTGACGAGGACGCGTTGGGCGGTGATACGCGGGGGCTCGCCCCTGTCCTTGGCCGTGAGCGCGAGCTCGTAGTTGGAGCGGTGCTCGCGGTCGAGGGGTCCGGAGACCCTCAGGACCCCATCCACCGAGCCGAGGGCGAAGGGCACCTCCCCTTGGCCCGGGGCCAGGGAGTACTCGACGTAGCCGTTGCGGCCCTCGTCCCTGTCCACGGCCTTGACCACCATCACGACGCTGTTGATGGCCACGCCCTCCGTGACGCTCGTCTGGTTCGTGGACACGAACTCTGGCGCCTGGTCGTTCACGTCCGTCAGGCTCACCGTTATCTGCGAATCATCGTGAGGAGGCTGCTTTATTTCATTCCGTTGAGCACATACATTCGCGCTTATGGAGGAGCTTGCCCTAATTACGAGCGTATATTTGTATGCTCGATGGCTTTTGATCTGTTAAGCTTTGCGTATTTGCTTTTTTTTACTACCAAGTACTCTGTTTGGGACATGTGACTGAGGAGGAGACTTTTATTTGAATGCGTTTAATTTCCCCCAATGAGGGATGTTTGCGACGATATTATAAACACTTGTTGGGTAATGTTTTTTATGAATTTTTAAATCGTTTAAAAAAAAAATCAAGTTTTTCCGTAAATAAAGTACATTCTCTGTGAATAGTATTTGAAATAAAATATTTTAATTCTTGATTTTGTTACTTTGCCTGTATTTTTTGTTTTTTCTTTCAAATTGCAATACCTACATTGTTCTCGCTCGAGAAATTTTTGCTTTTAGCACAAACAATGCGTTACACTTTCAACAAAACATTAAATTTCAAAAAATATGTAACAGTATCAGCGATCAAGTCTGACGACAAGCGAGCATTTACCCAATTACCTATATACGTAATATATACCTGTTATAAAAGGATCTAATCTTGTACGAACAAATTGAAATTGCTCCTTTTTCTCTCACGATTTCATGACTATCTGATGTATATTTCAAAGGCGCGAGCCTGAATTTCCCGGAAAAATTGTGCGACCAAAAGAACAATACCACACAGATCCGGAGACGAAAGAAATCACCGTGTAATACATACGCTATACGTATACACGTATAAAAAAGAAACGCCTCAGGCCATAATATACGCACATACCACGCGAGAACGCAACAATCCCTGTGCAATTACTTTGCGCTCTCTCGCGGCTACATGAATATACAATACATGTACATAGGCATCGTTTTTCTGCTACGCCCGTATTGTTTTATCTCTCGCGGATATTGAATCGCGAAAAGCGTTATTAAATGATCGAAATCTTTTACCCCCCCCCCCCCTTACAGATAGGTACGTTCCCATTTGTGATTTATCCGCGCACTTGCATACAGGTATAATACATGCAACACAAACGTGGAGCTCGAATCGTATGATTATCGTTTCAATGGCTCACAACCTCAATCCCATATATTATACTGATTCTGTTTACAAAGCATTTCCATACCCCATTGGAGTATAGGAAAGGTCCATGTGACTCTACCCCCTGCCGAGTAAAACACGTATACATCTCCGATATCATATACAAGCAAACATATTTCCATCCCCTCCACATTTAGATGAGATTAGAAGAAAAAAGAGAAAAGTTAGAATACCTGTATGGTGGAGGCGAGTGGCTTGGCCGGTGCTCTCGGGGCGTCCCTGGCCTCGAGCACGAGGCCGTAAACGCTCTTGGCCTCGCGGTCGAGTTCCCTCCTCGTGTAGATGGTCCCGTTGGCGGCGACCCCAAAGTCTCCGTTGTCGTCACCAGCGACGATCGCGTAGCCGATCAGTCCGTTGTCCCCGGCGTCGAGATCGGTGGCGCGCGTCCCCAACACGAGCGCGCCCACCGCCACGTTTTCCGGCAGGTCAACCGCACGAGCCCCCGGCTCGAACATCGGCGCGTTGTCGTTCAGGTCGACCACGTTGCAGTAGACCGTCACCGTCGACGACAACGCCGCCGGCGAGCCCGAGTCCGTCGCCTGCACCACGAGGATGTAGTGCTGCACCTGGTGATGAAAAAAAAAAAGACCCTCCTTTTTACAACCTCGTCCATCGTCCCCGTGTACCTGCACCCTTTGTGCTTTCCTCGCGTAAAAAATAAACGACGATGGTAATGATGCACGACGCGCCCTCTCCTCCGCTAACTGTACGTATACGCGCGTTTGCGGCCGAAAAAGAGAGCGCGACCCTTGTAATTTAGCAAACTTTGCATACATCCCTGCTTGGTTAGCGGATGATAATATACATGTATAGGTGTGCACCCCGGGCTCGAAAATCATACTCTACACGAAATTTTCAACGCGCTCCCGGCGTATGCACAAAAATGTCCAAACTATAGCCGCATATACGTAATACATAAATGCCGATGATGCGCGAAATTGTATTGTGTTAAAATGAGAGGGAGGAGCAAGAAAAAACAAAAAAAAAAAAAGAGAGCTCTGGCGCGTCTTTGGTCCACGCGAAAAATACAGAGGTGCAGTTTGGCGAAATTTCAGCGCCACCGAGCGCGCGCACGTCTCGCGGTGCGCATAAATTACACACTGGGGGCGGGCGCTCGGAAGCGGCGTTTTCGCGGACAAACAGCCGTTGTTTTTTGTACATATACATATATATATATATATATATATATATANTTCATTTTTTACGAAGATTCGTCGAATAAATTCTTCAAAAACCACCTCGTAAATGGTCCGCACGTACATGTATATATGTGTATGTATTTGGCACCAATTGAACTAATATTTATCATTTTTGTCGGGGCACCGAGGAAACGTTGAATCGCGCTCATCAACTAGACACACACGTAGTATAGGCCTCCGTGAATTTATCTCTCCCTATGTCGAGTATGGGCAACTTTGTATAAAGCACAAGAGGTATTTTTTTTTTTTTTTTTTTTTTTTTTTTCTTGCAAAGCGGAGGGCGAGTGCGTGCGTGCATGCGATGACCTATACTTAAGGTTGCGGGGTCCACGCTGCAAGGACCGTCTTCTCTTTTGCTTGCTCCTTCGGTGTATCTTCTCGCTCCCGCTCGAAAGGGAGAAACAGAGACGAGGGGTTTGCTGCCGTGGCGAAGCGTGTTATTTATTTTGTGCCTTTCGGTTCTTCGATCGGTGCTGTACGCACTCTTGAAAAGTTCTCGCCCTTTCCGCGCGCCGTTCCTGTACTTTGGTCCGCGTCGACTACGTATCGTAGGTATATAAGTATCGCCCTTAGCTGATGAATGGTGCTGCTGTGTATAGGGTGTCGATCGCAGGGAGGCAAGTAAGGATGCTCGAGTGCATTGGGAAATTTTGCGATGGAAAAAGGTATTTCCGTGCGCATATCTACGTTTTGAGGAAATTCGAAAAAGATATGTATAGGTGTGTGGATGGGCAAATTATTTTTGTTACGTAAATTGCGAAACTTTAACGAGCTCATTTTTTTTTTTTTTTATTTTTTATTATTAAATAAACACAAACTAAGTGTTTGTGATCAAGTCTCTGAAAATATGTGCCAAGTCAAATTTCACTATTTCAACGAAAATTATCGAATATCGTGTTATTTGTTGGTTATCCAGTAAAATGTCTCTCGTTGATGAGGCAAGCCTCGAAATCGGTAAAAATTACAACTGTATAAAGAAAAAAAATTTACCAACTTGAATACCGATAACGCACGTTGAAGTTTCAATTTTTGATCATCCATGTGTGATGGATAGTCGATAAAAAGACTTGTTACCCAAAGTTTTAAGGTTCAAAGTACAATGGTCGCGTTGGTGACAAAAAAAAAAAAAAATAAAAAAAAATAAATAAATAAAAAACACAGCCAGGTAGAGAAGCATCATGCGTCGAAAATACACGCACGTACGTATAGGTACACCGAAACAAACGGTGATGCTCTTCTTCTTCTTCCGCAAATTACACGCTTTATTTTTTTACCGCCACCAGCACATTCCGCTAGCTGTCCAGCCGCTCTTCTTCAAAAAATACACCCAGCAGTACGGACACGCATGAAAAAAAAAAAAAAAAAAAAAAAAATATTTACCCTCTAGCCTCTCGGACCGCAGATGCGTATATAATAATCAAGAACGAGAAAGAGAGAGAGAGTTTATAGGAGCAGCCGAGGCATTTAGTCTGATGAGGGGTTCTATAAACGGTCCCCCCCTCTTCCTTAAGCCACCACTCTTTCTTTTATTTATTCCTCCCCTTTTATCCTTCCTTCCTTCCTTCCTTCCTTCCTTTGGCTCCGCTGCGGAGGGGGAGAGAGAAAATTGAGCCCCTCGCGCCACGAGGATTAATTTTAAAATTGTCGGAGGCGCAAGCACCTGTCGAACGGATCTTTCCCCCCCCCCCTCCCTCTCGACTCTCGTGTACCGTTTATATTCGGCTGCTTTACGACTCTCTCCTACCGCGTCGTGATTTACCATGCGATCCTTCTCCCCCCCTTTTTTTTCTTCTCGTCTCCTTCGCGTTCCCCCTTCGCCCGAGTCCGGCTCTCTCGCTTTGAGCGCTTGTTTACGTAAATGATTGTACGGATTAAAGATATGACGTGCGATCAATTTTTCCGCCCGATGTGCCCCCCTTGATTGTCGACGATGCGCGGTTCGCCCCGGGAGTGAATAATTTTACGCGAACACCCCGCCCCTCGGTCTCGCCGTATCAATTACGCACCTCCGAATTTCTCTGCGGGGAAATTTTCTTCCGTTTTCGTATATGTACAACCCCCCTGAGTCAATATTACATCGAGCTATTGAAAGTAGGTGGTTTCTTCGATGAAGTATCGGTCTTTCGTCATCGTCCCCGATCGATCATCGTCAAAAACCTGTACGTATGTGCGTACAAACGAAGAAAAAACCTCAAAGCTTGTCGGTGGTGCCGTTGCGACGTCTCTCGTTCTTGGGACGCGGCTTTCACCGGGCCCTCGGAGCGGAAATTTCGCCAAATGTCAAAGTCCCCCCTCGCGTGTGCCCGTGTATATATTTATGTATGTCATCGCGCTTAATTAAACCATAAATCTCTCCGCGTCCGTCCCGTTCCTCTGCCGGGCAATCAAAAAATGTTGACCGCCACTCCCGCGGTTAGTCGCATCATCCATCTCGGTCTCTTTTCTCCTAATCTGCACTCCGCGGCGCTTTTTCCAAAAGCCCAGCGTGCCCCGCAATGCTCTCGAACAAGTAATTGGAGGGGCAAAGCGGCTCTTTTTTTTTTTTTTTTTTGTTGCCGGCAAAGTCGCCCTTTGTCTCTCTCTCTCTCTCATCTCGCGCGCCTGTCAGCACAGCGGACGACCAGGAGGAGACAGTGAACGACAAAGACGAGAGGGCTTTCATATTTAAAATACTTGCGGGTAAACAAAAAAGGAGCGGTCTCGGTTAATTAGGTATAAAGCTGCCTCGGTGCATGGGTACCCTCTATATTATCGCCGCTGCGGCCTGTTGTTATTGCTTTTTCTTTTTTCGAGGTGTCGGCCATTTACTTTTCGCGAAATCAGCACTGATGCTGCAAGATAATCCCTTTCGACCCCTTTCCGCTTTTTATCGTAACATGACACGGGTATTGTGCCTTTTGGTCCTGCTCGCGACGCTGGGGGACACACTATATATTATCGTAGTCGATTTTTCGCATGAAACAACGGACACTTGAAACTAAGTGATTTTTATTTTATTTTTTTCATTTTTTACGAAGATTCGTCGAATAAATTCTTCAAAAACCACCTCGTAAATGGTCCGCACGTACATGTATATATGTGTATGTATTTGGCACCAATTGAACTAATATTTATCATTTTTGTCGGGGCACCGAGGAAACGTTGAATCGCGCTCATCAACTTGGCCAATTTATTGAGGTAACGCTTGACCGCGAAACATTATTTATATCACACGCAACCAAAAACCGTTGGCTCGTTAACATTTGGTACAGTTTTAAACGCATCTTCTGGATTAAACACGAATCAACACCGCAATCAGCGATATTTTATCTCCTAATCAAATCCAAGGAAAGCTCCTTTTCTCCCAGAGTCGGGGAGCAATGACAAGTTACCTGCTCCCTACGGACGTATGACACGTTGCAAAACAAATTTTCAACCCGCGAACCCGAGGCCGAAAAGCCCACTCTTTTCGCGTACACCCATATATTATTATGATTATTCATACCAATCCATTATTTTCATACATATGTATACGTGCTTACCGATACATTTTTGCTCTCCTCACGCTGTATGTGTATATATACGTGCACATGCGCCGATCTCCCGCGGTGAGCCTTACTCCGCAAAGCCAGACGAAGCAGCAGCTACATTTCTTGGCCCCTCTGACTTTGTGAATTCGCGTGCGCGGGTAAAGGAAAAAAAAAAAAAAAACCTCCAAGAGAACGGATCTGCACGAGGGTCCGGAATTCGGAAAGCAAAAGATTAGCGTTGCTCCATCGGTCGGTCGGGCGATCATTTGCCCCCTCGTACATATACACTTTGACTCGGCTCTTTTTCTCCCTTATATACACTCCGTTCGTTCGGTATGGATGTTGGCGCGCAGGGCTCTCGGTGGTACATGAGCGTTTCGAGCAGAGGCGCCCCGTGTGTGCGTTTGTTGCGCGGAATTTTCGTCGGCGCCGTCTCGTTTAACCCTTCTTTTATTCATCAAAATTATTGCTTCATCCATCAAACACGAGATTCCTAACTATTAGATAATACATGTGCTTGAAATGCCTCATTCGTCATTTTTATAACTATTTTACAAGGTATCCGCGTTGCGTCCGACCACACTTGTCTGAATCTACTTTCCCAAGTAGATACAGACGTGCCGGCCCATACATATGGTGTTTTTTTTTAGTACAGTTAAAAATAACACATCAATGGTGTATATACGAAACAACATTGTTATTCTCACGTGTGATTGGCACAATGTAACATTGTTATCGGGAATAAAACCAACCCCATCTACGCATTAAATCGAAAAAAACATAGCGCGAATCGATGGATATGATAAAAAGTAAATAAAAGCACACAAACCTGTTCGTAGTCGAGGTTGGCCGTGAGGGTGAAGACCCCGGTGCTCGGGTTGAGCGAGAATACGTCGTTGGCCCAGTCGGAGATGAGCGCGTAGCTGATCTGGCTGTTCGGCCCGGGCCCGTCGGCGTCGCTCGCCGCGACTTGGCCGACTCGGCTGCCGCGCGGCATGTTCTCCAGGACGTCGAACGAGTAGGCCGTCGCTTGGAAAACTGGCGCGTTGTCGTTCGTGTCCGTCACCTGAGGCAGAAGAAACAATCCATATTTTTTTTTTCAAGATAATTCCTTTTTTTTTTTCTCTCTGTCTTTCATTAAGATTGAAAAAAAAGGAGATTACACGATTGCAACGTCTATGTGCCTCGAAAGGGGATGGGGGTCGCCAATTTGCGCCAAAGAAACAGGTACGTGGTCGTAAAACGCGAAAACGTTTGGCAAAATAAGAAGATAAAAAGATACTCTCCGGTTCCTCGATCACGTTGTGCCCACACACGCGCGTCCCATTCACCCGTTGCACGTCGAAGGATGTCTCGTCTCGTCTTCAAATCCAGCTGCGAATTAAAGCGCCGCAGGAGGGCGTACATCGTATACAGATAACAAGGAAGGAAGCGCCCGAGCTTGGGTGTCCGCAAAAACTGCAACGGCAGCGAAGCTCGATCGAAGTTTGTCAATGCCTCAACTTCTCCCTCGTCTCCCTGTTCTTCGACTTCCCGTCGCGATTACTGAAGTATCTCTTTTTTTCTTTTCTTTTTTTTTCCCAATACCCCCAAAGTTCTCAAAAACCACACGATCCAGCCAAGGGTTATCCAACATCTGCAATTGCTCCTCTTTTTTTGTTTATCATGTATAGACACGCAACACACACAAAGGTGCACGCAGGAATGCTTTTTTGCCCGCGTCGCTTCAGCCGAAAAGTTATCCGGGACACACACATATATATATATATATACGCCCGTGGGATAAAATAAAGAAACTACATAAGCCCCGAGAAAGTCCAAAGTGGGGGGGCGTTGATTGCACGCGTGGCATGTGTATCCTGCTCCTGTTACCGATACTTACGCTCTCCCTTTTTATATGTACTCTCGAGTATATTTCTTCCGCACACACATACATACACATACTCTCGTGTTCCAGGTGTTTTCGATGGATGTTAACGCGTCCGACGAGCAAGTAAATCCGCGCTGAAAAGTATTTATGAGCTTCATTAAGGTCCTACACGATAGAGGGGAAAAAGACATCTTCGTGTGTGAATCCTTTCGTATACTCTGCTATTTGTTTTTGACAGAGAGAGAGAGAGAGAGAAAATACAAAGGGAGAGCGGGCGCGTAATATACGTATACATAATCCTGTGTTGGCGAATGTTTCACCATCCTCCTCCTCTTTTTTTTTCCCGTTCTTATACGGGGCGAGCGCGTACTGCACGCGGCGATTTATCAAAATTTTTTTCCCTCCAAGAATCTCCCCGAGAGACGCTATATATACGTGTTATATAGGTACACACATATATGCACACTCGAGCCCTGACATCGTACCTATTTATACACACATGCACTCGGTGAGTTTAATTGCCGCCGAGGAATTTTCATTAGCCCAGCGTATACTTTGGCCGAGCGGAGAGGAGGGGGTTGTTATATAAAATTGCGAGTACACTGCAATTGATATAGGTATATGTATGGAGTAAACATCCCAGGTATCGTGTTTTCGCATCGGTTGGACTTTGTGCGTTTTGTATCTCTTCGAGAGGGTTGATAATCCAATCGCGCGATACACCTATATGCAGGGTAGAGGTGCAACAACTTTGACTCGAATCAACAACTCGATAAAGCGCGTTTTGCATACGCGGTTGCTATCCAAACGGAACGCCAGTATATAGATAAAAGAAAAAAAAAAAAAAAAAAAAAAAGAAAAAAAAAAAAA